ATACCAATATTCCGATGATAAACCACCAGTAGATAACCTGATGGTAAAGAGTAAAATGAGGTTTTATGAGTTTCTAAACTCTATTACAGTAATTATCTCTCTCTCTCTCTCTCTCTCCTTCTCTCTCTCTCTCTCTCTCTCTCTCTCTCTCTCTAATATATATATATATATATAATATATAATTTATTATATATATATATATATATATTATATATATAAGAGTCCCACTTTTTTTTACACAATTTTTAAACCCCTTGTTATATTAATGTATTTGAATAATTAGTATTGCATATAAATTGTATTATTTTCAAGGTATATAAATTATGCAGATTATAATAAATCTTTTCTTGTATGATATTGGATCGCATTAATAGTTTATAATGGGTTTGGTATCATATCTTTCAATTCCTTAGTGCTGACTTAACTTCTATCAATAAATGAGATATAGTAGTCAAAAGATTTTTGAAAAAAAATAAAGAAAATAGGTGATGTTTCCGTACAGAGGTGGTGGTAGCATGCATGGGCAAATAAAGAAAGAAGGAGACAAGAAAGAATGGGAAAGGTGGTGATATGATAAACTAATGTAATGGCATGAATTTTGAAAGAAGTTCATGTATCTTTATTTATACAATTACAGAAATACAAATATAAATATAAATACACAGACAAAAATATATTGAAACATCAGATATTGTCTCCCATTAATATGCAAATTGCATTTCCAATATAATTATTTATTATTTATAAGCAAGCATTAATTGATTTAGATTCTCTCTAATCAATTAGTAAGTGGTAATAACTATGGAGGTTTTGACTAAACAAAGTATAGTCATTAGCAGCGATTATCTCAAGAAAGTCAAAGGCATATTGCCTTGTCAAGTAATTGACCCTTTGAAGTTCGAAGAATGCAATTGCCCTTAAGGCCAAACAAAGAATTTCTCTACAATTAACCACCCTTGGGTGGTCGGGTGGAATGATAAGCGCTCTTGGGTGTCTTAAGTTTGATTCCCCTCAGTTGCTAATAGAGATAGTCATTGAAAGATTTATCCGATCATTAACTTTAGAGTCCTAGAGGATTAGTCGATACATGTGCAAACTGGCTTAAACATCTCGGTTATTAAAAAAAGAAAATTTCTCTACAATTTAATGGGCCGGAGTGATAGTTTGATACAAAAACGTTACAATATAAATTAAATATACAAACTATTGGATACACATATCTTATATCATTCATAATATTTATTAAGTATTTATTAAGTTAAAGTTTTTGGATTACACCTATTTATTCATTATACTACGATCAGTTTATATACAAGAGTTTATATATACATATACAGTAGATCCTCTCTATAGTCATAATAATGTGACTAGATTAATTTTATTATTATGAAGAGGTTATAACCTAATAGAAGTATAGTTACAAAAATTATTGTTTTGACTTAGTTATCCTTAATGTACATGGTATGGAAGTAAAATATACACTACATTAATAATTAATTAATGGCGTATGTCAAATCCAAGATATAGGACCCCTTTGGTTCACTTTTTTTCCCTATCCTATCCAAATACATATTTGTTTCAATATTCAAGATTATCTAAAAAATACAATACTATTCTAATATTTATATTTTTTTAACCCCCTAGATTTATTAATTTAACTAAACACCCCTAACAATAAAAGTTTAAATTGACAAAAATACCTCCACCCACCCACATTTGCCAAATTATGGCCACCATTGCCAGAAGATGACCAAAATCTATCATAATGGCGCACTACCGATTGGACATGGCCAGTAGTGCATTGATCTGCCCCAGATCTAAGACAGCCAGATCTGGCCGTTGACGACGACCATATCTTGGTTGTTGTTTGGCCGTCGTTGATGGCCAAAAGATTTGGCCAGATCTGACATTTTTCAGCCAGATCCACCGTGGATCTGACCGAAAAAGGTTAGATCAGCTCACTACCGGCCAGATCCAACCGATAGTGCCCCATTACGCCAGATTCCTACCACTTTACGGTGGTGGTGGCTGAAATCTGGCAAATGTGGGTGGGTGGGGGTGTTTTTGTCAATTTCTAAACTTTTTTTTGTTAGGGGTATTTAGTTAAATTAACAAACTTAGGGGATTAAAAATAATCTAAATATTTTCAGAAAATGCTATTATAAAATGTACAAAAAAATTCACACAATACTACTCAACTCAACTTTTTCGAAAAGACTATTATAAAAACTCCCAAAATAGTGAACCAAATGAAGCCATAGACATTGATAAAAGTGATAGACATAGTTTCATGCTAAGAAGATCTAAACATGCTTAAGAACTTAGAAATATTTTGGCTTTAACAAAAAGGTCTAGCGAGTTATTACGTATCCGCAATTTTAAAAATATGATAACAACCCTAAAGCATAAATCATTATCCCAAACAACTTTAGATAAATATTTTATCTCATTTTAAACTCTTAATATAACATATAATATATTTTTTGCAATATACAGATAATTAGTACCATGTGAAGACAAATTTCTTAAGATGAGACCTAAAAAAATTATAACTTATTACAATATAGAATTATTCTTATTTATAATGGTCTAAGTTCGGACTAGATTTTTTTATAACTACGTGAAGATTATTTTTATATAAAGTATTACTATAGAGAGATTTACTGTATAAGTAAAATAAAGTGAAGATAAAGTAAATGATAAACAATGTCTAATAGAATAACCATGTCATTATTGATTAAGATCTTAGATTCTACATAAATGATATATATAATATAATTTCTTAATTTGGGTTTCTGAAGCAAATGTATTACCCTCTGAAAAATGACCATCTTATGATTCTAAGAATGAATCATTTTTAGAAATTATCCAAACCGCATCCAATGATATATTTCATATTTAATGATTTATAAGGGATGATTTACAATATGTTATATGCTTAAACAAAGCTTACTGAAAATTTTAAAAAATCTGATCTTCAAACTTCAGAAAATTCCTTCCACAAATTGATTGAAACAAAAAACAAAATTCAATCAAGAATGTTCAGTGGGACCAAAATTCATAAGTAAATTGGAAGCATGCGAGTGAAGGCAACAACTCTGATATATTGATCAACACTTGGAACCATTTATGCAGAGTTTAGATTATTGCATGGAGCAGAAAACTTCTGCAGTCACCTAAATAATTAGGAAACCAACAAAAATGCCTTCAAAATCATTTGGTAATGATAGCCATTCCATTTTTAGAAAAATTCAGGATAATTCAATGTATTTTTTATGATTTCATATCCTTTCAGGGTAGTCAAAATTAAATTCATATGGAAAGTTTTTGTTTTTTTATTTGACAGTGATTATTTCTGGGTCAATATGAAAATCTATGACTAAATCATGTTCGAATTGTATTCTTTCAGTGGTGGTAACTGATCAGGCCAGTCTCTTCCAACTTTTTATTGTTCAAAACACAAACTCATCAAACTGACAACTGAAATGAACAAATCATCGATAAATAATATTATGAATACAACCTGACAAGCGAATGAACAAATCATTGATGAATAATATTATACATAAGAAACTGAAAAATGAAGAAACAAATCATTGATCAATAATATTATAGATACAAATATTATTATACAAAATATGATGTAACATTTATGATTGAAGGAACGAAAAATACTAAACAGATAAACATATACATATTGAATTAAATTGATAATTAAACGATCTTACTCAATCTTTAGTGGGGATAAAATTTTCTATTGAATGGTACACAATTATACATTGACCAGCAAGAAGAAATGAAGAAAACAAATATCTAGCCCCGCATTTCGATACTGATTGAGGTTTCGTTGCTATGTCAAAAAAATGATAACTATACTAATTCGTTGTATTCTAAAAATATCTTTGGTACTGTATTGACGATCTCACAAAGATTGAAATTAAGTGAATTTTCATTTATTGATCTTATCGTTTACAGAATCGATTTTTAACGTACAAATCAAAGGTGAGCTTTGTATTGCTAACTTCAACCCTAAAAACAAAAACTAGTAACTGAGAACTGAGAACTCGTTATTAGTCCGTACATTAAAAAATTTAAATACATCCGCTCCTAAAAATGTTCAATACATAAATTATAAGAAAAGTTTATACACTTAGAATTCTCTATTATTATTTGAATGATGAATGGAAGCAACAAAGGTCTGGCAGTCCAGCTAGAGAAGAACAGAAGCCAGGCAGATATGGGAGGATCGATGGAGAGAGATAACATTCATTGGCTGCAAAGACGGCAGGATTCTATTCTCCAGAGAGAGTTGTTTACGTTCTTGTTTTATAAAACAAAAAGAGCCTTCTAAATTTTTCTTCTTCTCGGGATCAAAACCAGAAATAATATTTTAATTAGTGCATTTATATCAAAACATTAAATGCCCCATTTATATTTACCAAGTTTAGACAAAACGGAAATGAATATTCAACTCCAAAACCATTCCAGGATTGAAGGTTTTTCAAAATGTAATTTCCATAATATTAAAAAGTAATTAAAACTTTAAATAGTATGGGATTAACATCAATCGAATTAATTCCGAAATTATTATAATTTAAAAGTAAACTCCACCCAAAATATCTGGTATTTTCCTTGTTAGGATTCTCTTAAATTGAATTGCCACATATAGATATTATATAATAAATGGTAAACTCAGGTTAATTTTCCTATAAATGCAGAACCCACTAAAGCTTATACACGTTCTCTACTCGGAGCCGTTAAATTCAATTCCCACTAATTTTATTTTTCATATATTTGAATAAGGAATCTCTAAAATAAAATCTTCCATTTATTAATTACCGTCTGGTGAGTTGAGTGTATTTACCCTGTTATTGAACCATAATATAAAAAAATAAAATAAAATAAAATAAAAAATAAAAAATAAAAAATAAAAACATTTTTTGTCACTTATAAATAACTGACAACCTCAGGTTCAGTAATCACCAATTTTATAAAACTCAACACTCTTTTGCTCTGTATATTTCAATAAGTGTTTGCAGAATTTTTCTTCTAAGTTTCGTTTTGATATTTGATCACCACCATGGCGATGGTGGTGTTGGCAACTCTGTTGGTTGTATTTATTTCTTTATTGTTTAGAGTTGCATACGATACAATCTCATGTTACTGGTTAACGCCGAGACGCATCAAGAAAGTCATGGAAAAGCAAGGCGTGCGTGGCCCGAAACCCCGCCCTTTAACCGGAAATATAATGGAAATGACATCCTTGGTCTCCAAATCCACCGCCAAAGACATGAATCATATCGACCATGACATCGTCGGCCGTCTCTTGCCGCATTACGTTACTTGGTCTCAACAATACGGTAAGCACATCTCTTCACAATCTTAATCTCAAAATCATATAAATATTCAAACTTATAATTAATTTCTGTTGTTGTTTGCAGGGAAAAGATTCATATTTTGGAATGGAATCGAGCCAAGGATGTGTCTATCAGAAACCGAGTTGATCAAAGAACTTCTGTCGAAGTACAGCATGAAAGCCGGAAAATCATGGCTGCAACAACAAGGATCAAAACATTTTATTGGGCGAGGTTTGTTAATGGCGAACGGCGATGATTGGCACCATCAACGCCATATTGTTGCGCCTGCATTCATGGGAGATAGACTCAAGGTATATAAAAATATATTGTTGCCTCTGCATTCACTTTTGATCAACCTTTTATTTCAGTTTCCTTGATTGGTTTGGATTTAGAATTTTTAATTTAATGTGTAGAGCTATGCCGGGCACATGGTGGAATGCACTGACCAGATGCTCCAATCACTGCAAAATGCAGTCGAATCAGGCCAAACCGAGTTCGAAATTGGAGAGTACATGACGAAACTCACAGCTGACATAATTTCAAGAACCGAATTCGACAGCAGTTATGAGAAAGGAAAACAAATATTCCATCTTCTAACAGGTCTTCAACACCTGTGTTCTCAAGCTAGCCGTCACCTATGCTTTCCAGGAAGCAGGTGATTTTTTCACGCTATATTAATTTTCATATTGAGCTTTGATGAGATTTTTTCTTTCCCTTTTTTTGTAAAGTTTTTTGTTCTACTTGTATGATGAAAAAGAGGCTTTCATTTCTGTGTTTCCTTTATAAGATTCCATCTTTTACTGTAAGCTTCATTATTTGTAGTGCCGATTCCTTTTCCAGGTATAGTTTTCTCTTAACAGAGATTCATTTTCTATTTTTTTTACAGGTTTTTTCCGAGTGAGTACAACAGGGAAATAAAGTCTAAGAAGATGGAGGTGGAGAGGCTTCTAATGGAGATAATTCAGAGCCGAAAAGATTGTGTAGAAATCGGTAGGAGTAGTTCTTATGGAAATGATCTGTTGGGTATGTTGCTTAATGAGATGCAAAACAAGAGATCGGGAAATGGATTTTCTTTGAACCTGCAATTGATTATGGATGAATGCAAAACTTTCTTCTTTGCGGGACATGAAACAACTGCTCTTTTACTCACATGGACTGTTATGTTACTCGCCAGTAACCCTTCCTGGCAAGAAAAAATTCGTGCAGAAGTTAAACAAGTCTGTAATGGAGAAACTCCCTGTGTCGATCACCTCCCCAAACTCACTTTGGTAAGCTAAGCAAAATTCAAAAAATTCTTTTCTTTTCTTTTTCTTTTTCTTTTTGCTCTGTTTTTGGTTTTTTAGGTGATTTTATTTGGCCCAACACTGTTAGGCAATAACTGTGTCCTTTAGTTCAATTCTCAAAGCATATTCAGTCTTGAATTGAACACTAAAACAATATTTAACACACTTTTTTTATAAGCAAGTTGCAATTCGTAATCTTAATTTTTTTTCTGCCCCTTTGTGCTCGTGCGCAGTTTTTTTTCCTTTTTGATTATGATAATCAATATAATGACTCATTTCTAAAGCACATTCCAGCTCCTTTAAGATAACTATGCAATTAAATTTACTGCACATTTAGTTCATGGATCCCCACTTCCTGATAAAGTTCTTGTAATAATCTAATTACAAGTCAAAAGATCAAAATAAACTAAACATCCCCAAATGATTAAATCTTTTGGCAGCCTGGATATTTTTTTTTTTTTATTTGGCTGCAAATAACTTATAATATCTTTTTTTTTTTTTAGTTGAACATGGTAATTAACGAGTCACTGAGGCTTTATCCACCAGCAACAGTTTTACCAAGAATGGCTTTTGAAGATATAAAACTTGGAGATCTCTTGATCCCGAAGGGTTTATCGATATGGATTCCGGTGCTAGCAATTCATCACAGTGAAGAGTTATGGGGAAAAGACGCAAATGAATTCAAACCAGAGAGGTTTGCTACAAGAACACCAGGCCGCCATTTCATTCCTTTTGCAGCAGGCCCGCGAAACTGTGTTGGGCAGTCGTTTGCGATAATGGAGGCAAAACTGATATTAGCCATGTTGATTTCCAAGTTCAGCTTCAACATTTCTGATAATTACCGCCATGCTCCAGTCATTGTGTTAACAATAAAACCTAAGTATGGAGTTCAAGTATACTTGAAGCGCATAGATGCATGAGTCCTGAAGATTAAATTTAATTTTGTAGTTCAGAAAAAAATAATAATAATTTTTTTAGNAAAATATATAAATTAATTTTATAAATATGTAATTTTCATCTCATTCTCATTTTGACCGGTCAGTTTACTTTAATCCAAAGACCAAAAGACACAAACTTGTGTAAAAAAAGAGGGCTTGATCCCTCCCCATATATATTTGTATGTATGTACCTCTCTCTTTTGTACGTATATATAAAACAAAAAAAATCCAATATTTCAAAATTGTATCTAAAATAGCTAGAAAAGTGGAAACAAGACCCGATATAATTTGATCATTATGAGCAAATCAAAATCGTTGTAGACATCAATGTTCTGAAAACCGGACCAAACCGCCCAATCGGACCAGTTTGATCGACAACCGATGGCAAATCCGGTCCGGTATATATAAAAAACCGTCATTTTGATTTAAACCGGATTGGACAGCAGATGGACCGTCAGAATAGTGCCGAATTGAGGTCCAATCGCAGCTAAACCCCGTCGAATTTCGGCATCTTTCGACGGAGAAAACACCCCCATTCGACGGACGACATCTCCACGACCAAAACCATCCATTTTTAGTCGCCGTCGTCCAGCCTACATCGATCGCCATCCACCTAAAGTTCACGTGACGTCGGATTTCTTTTGTTGATTCCGACGAGTTTCGACGACGATGGAACTCTCTAGCACCACCATCAGAATCGCTGGCACCTACACATCAAAAGCCCCAAGATTCTAGCTTCGATTGGCCGTCGATCGTCGCTGTCGTCACCACTCACCAGAATCTCCACACGATAGGGGTGTTTTAGATAGATTTCAAACCTTAAGGGTGAATTATAGGGGTGTTTTTGATGAATTTCAAACCTTCAGGGACTAACATAGTTTTACAAATTACGGTCTGACCAACCGATCCAATCGGTCAAACCGAAAATCGGACCCTTGAACGGGTCATTGTCCGATCCGGTTTTCAGAACATTGGTAGACATAACCAATCATTAGTCCAAACGGTGCTGTCAAATGGAATCCAATACACAAATCAATTACTAAGAGAATTGAAAACACTTTTATTGTGCCTAGTTAGTAAATACGGGTACGGCAAAAAAACGGTACGGGAATTTTACGGGTATAATACGGCAAACGGTGAAAAATACGTTCATAAAAATTCGGCCATAAAATTCGGATACGGAAAAAATACGGTACGGGTATATACGGGTTTAATACGGTGTATTGTCAATAATAAGTTTTGAAAAATACGGCAATATCAATCTTAGTTTTAACATTTTTATGGACTACCTGGTTAAAATCAATATAACATTTCAAATGCAAAGTATTCAATTAACCAATAACACAAATACACAATATATAAATATAACTGATATTCAAATTATAGTCTCCAGACTCAAACACAATCATAATAAAACCAATTATTTATAAAAATTACAAATACACCCTACAGTCAGTTTACAAAAATTACAAATGTATCAAGTAAAAGTTAAAACTTAAAAGTATATATTTTATTAAATTTTCTCTCTCCTTTCTCTTCTCTTTCATTTTCTCGTTCTTTGCAAAACTTTCTTCTCTCTTTCTTCTGTAAGTTTCTTCTCTTCTTTCTCTTTCTTTGTTCCACCTTCTCTTCAGTCTTCACTTTCTTCTTAAAAGTTAAACTTCGGCTCTCTTGTATAAAGTATAAACTTATGTCTATACAAAAGAGACGAAGGTTGTGGAAATTGATTATTTGCTGGAGTTGATTGTTGTGTGTTTTTGTGGAGTTGATTGATTGCTTGTGAATTTGTGAGGAAGAAAAGCTGAAGAAGAACTGAGGAAGAAGAAGAATTGCTGCTGAACTGCCGAAGAATTGAAGAAGAACGACTGAACCAGTGAACCAGATCTATTTTAATTTTTTGTATAAACCCACCAACGACGTCGTTTTGGGGTGTGAGATATGTTTTTTTTTTTTTTCAAAAATCGCGAATATTCGCGAATTATACGCAATTATACGGTACACCTTATTATACGCGAATTACGACAGATTTTATAAAATTCGGATACGTGCGTTTTATACGCCGAATTATACGGCTGTCCGTATAATTCGCGTATAATACGCGTTTTTACTAACTAGGTTATTGTGTCCCTTAAATTATAAGAAAATTCTTGAACCCAAGATTTAAGTAATAAGTTCCTCCTTACCCTGGATAAAAAAACCGCTTAGAATAATGAAACATATATGTTGATAAGTGTGTGTGTATATGCATATGTGGTGTAGTAACTCTCTAGTCAGAACATTCTGATAAAAATTTGACCAAAACCGTATATATCCACGTTGATACATACATTACAACCCAAATCTATAGTATATATGTATGAATAAATGATTAAGTAAATTTATATCACGGCATCTTATAATTAAATAAATTTATATCATGCATCCTAAGGGTAGAATTATTGTATTATAATTGATGCAGGTTATCGAGTCAAAAGGGCCTTTCCAGGTTGACAATATGGAATTTTGTTATTAAGAACTTCTAGAACCTTTTGGTATCTCATAACTTTTAAGCCACGTTATTATGATTTTAGAAGAGCAAATTAAAAAAGGTATTTCTATTTTCAGTCTTATTATTGGTCACACAATCACAATCTTATCTACTTCATATAGAATGAGCCGGCCAAAATAAAATTCCAACTTATAGTAATATAGGTTTGACCCCACTCAAATATGGGTTTCATCATTTCAACCATAAACTCTTTTTACTCCATCTAATTTTGATGCTTCTATGACAAGAGAACCCTTATTCATATAATCAAAATATCATCGTATTAGTTCTGTCAGAACAAGCTTAAATATAATTAAATAACAAAAATTCTCCTATAGATATAATAATAAGATAAATCCCACTACCGTTAATAAAAAGCAGAGAAATAATATTAAAACGTCTTAACTAAAAAATTATAGTAATTGTAAAATAGCTTATAATTGGAGACATCAAAGTTTATATTCCATTACAATGGACTACTTTCGTTTATTTTCCCAGACTGATCAAAGATTAGAGAAGTCAAAAAATTAAAAACAAAAACAAACCATATTATTACAATCAGACCTACCGACCCACCAAAAGTGAAGTTGGAGTTTTTAATTAAAATGGAAACTGTAGGCAGCTCTCTATTGCATGATTGGACAAGAAAAAACGGTGGGCTGACCAACATGTTTAACTCTTCTACGTTCTAGTCATATTAGTAAAACTAAAAGATTTTTGATATTTTCGACCTCAATTATTTATTATTAACACAAGCTTTTATTGGCACTATCATATTTGCCCATTAAGATAAGAAAATGCTGCAAGTCAACTAATCCAAAGGTTAAAAGAAAATCTAGCTCACTCTCAAAGTTCAAACTCAGTGAAATAGCATTTTCCCATGAATTTGGACTTCTCCTGATCATAAGGAAATGATGATTTTATCTACAGGATATGTTTCCAATCATTACCATAATTGAGAGAACTTTTATTGAAACTGAAATGTTTTCGGAAAACGACAAAGTATCTAGTGAAAAGTTGCTTTCAGACTCATCTAAACTTCCAAATTATGTTATCTGACTTGAAGGTGTTAACATCAGGAATCACTGATACTGAAAATCTTGATAGATCGTAGAAGATGCAAAAGACCTAGGAGTGACTATTGATATCTAAAGAGTCATACAATTGAACTACTCAAGAATAGGAAGATTGTGAAGTATTAACGAACATAATCATTGTTATCGTAATTTAATAGAAATAAACTTATGAAACTTTTATAATTAACATGATACCAGTTTCTCCTCAACTTTGTTGAAGTCTCTGAGTCTTCGGTGTAGCTTGATGAGGAGTTGCCTGCAGACCTCAGGAGATGTGCAGGGACCACACATGAGATAGATAACATTACCAAGAGGCCTCATGTAAACGCCATCTTGACGGAGCTTTTGAATAAGAGAACTTGCATATAGCGATCCATACCTGCAGAAAGATAAATGTTTACCATAGGAGACATTAAACACAAGATGTGAATATTGCTTCATAAATCATGCGGGGTCCTGTTAAATTTAAGTGTGATTCAATTGGAGAAAACTTAGAGATAACAAAAATCGACTCAAGCGTTTTGCCAGAAAAGTAGTAAGAAAACACAATGCTTTTACCAAGGGACTGACTACAAACAACATGACCCATGATTCCCAAATATTGGGAGTTGAAATTACTAATTGCCCAGTATGTGCAAAGCTCAAATCGCTGCCAGCCCTGCCTCAACAATGAATACAGCCATCTATGTTATAGGAACTACTTACGATACATGATGGTACCATATCATCAACCAGATACATTGTGTCAGAAAAAGTCAATCAATATACTCCATAAAATGGGCTTGTAACATGTAAAGTGTGCATGAAATAAGTTTCTTTCAAGGTAAAATTTTTTTGCAGTAACCTTCCAACTTGCACTAGCAATCTTTAATGTTTTCATTCACCTCAACACAAGGGAATGTTAAACAGAGTGCAGGCTGATTAATCATGACAATACTTCCAGTAAAAAGAAAATTAAACAAAAATATGTGAGTGAGACAATACCCAGCATTAGAGCCTTCTGCTTCTAGCTCCAGGGCAAAAATAGTCCCTAATGTAACCACTCTTCGGACAGCAGAATGTGATGAGATTTTTTGTACCAGCTCCGGATCCCATAGCTGCAAGCATTTCAATGCAAATACTACATGAGAATCATCAGATCAGGGTCGCTGCATTGACATTAAAGTAACATGGAATAGACCATGCTTTGCACTCTGAGTAAAGCATGCAATACTTGATAATTGATATCTACTTTTAGCAATCAATTATAATGTTTATGGTAAATGGTAATGTGTCATATCACCTTCTAAATCCCACCCATCAGTGAAAAGTAACAGGTGAACTCCTTTCCAGCGATATATAGCATTTCCTAAAAAAAAAAAACCATGTTTGCCGCCAAGAAGCAGATCCTCCAGCGTGTTCTTATAATTGGGAACCAGAGACTTTTTTCAACCCAGAATCACAGTTTGCCAAGCGATACAAGCTTTTCATAAAATCATTCCGTTTTAATTACCTAAAAAAATATGTAATCCCAAAATTCCACGTACACCAACCCCAATGGCCTGGCTTGACAAATACCTATAAAAGGGTGTAACACTGGCCTTTGAAAAGACTCAACAATACCATTTACATTGTAACAATGCCCCCTCTAGTGCATGATCAAAAAAGTCTAAAAACATGATCCAAATACAAGTCCAGATTTACTATATGAGATAATTTAATTAATAGAAGAAGGAAATTGAAACATAAAATCTCTTAGTCAACCTGTCTCTAGAACTGTGCTGAAACACAGCCAATTCCAAGAGTTTTAGCTTATCGGTAAAAAACCAAACAATATTAAACTCGAAAAATGAGAATTTGGGGTATGTCAACAAGGTAGACAATACTTTAATAAAATTCCGGTACAATTCCTATCCTACGTGAATAAATGAGTTAGGTAGGTACTAGATTTATACTTTCTTTACAATTACAAAAAAAGATACGGTTGCTTCTTTTCCTTTACATTATTATTACTTAGTTGTGCCTCCAGCAGGTTTGGGGTGTGGCAAATTAATATGAGAACCAAGTCCTCTCAAATATGACCAACTCCATACAAGGAGGGGTGGGTTCTATGGACCCAAGACTCTTGAGATGTTATTGGTCAAAAAAGCGACTGCTGGGAAGCAAGAGGCATCAACTAGAAGTAAAAAAAATCCCGTGTCAATTGATTCAAAAAAGCTACTATGTTTGAAAACTGAAAATTAACTTGCACAAGTGTTGACACATTGGATTTGACGAGCATGAAGGTGTACTGGCTTCTACTAAAACAAAGACCAAAGTTGAAGCCAATAACATAAACTCTCCCCTCCCAAAGATCTTTCTTGGCTCTCACACCTAACCTCGTTGGAGATAACAATCAATCGCTACTATGGAGACATTTTATTTTCTCTCAACATAACTCTATAATTATCAAAGTCAAGGTTATCAATACACAATAGAAATATGCAAATAACCCATAGGGTGCGTTTGGTTCAGGGAATGTTGGATTACTGGAAATGTTAAATTACTGGAAAGTTAGATTACCTTGAAGAATACTGGAAATCTTTAAGAAAATGTGTTTGATTAGTTGAAATAAACTGATGGGTATGTTTTATTAATATATTTGGTTGGGAGGAATAAATTGGTAGGTATGTTATTTAAATTACTAAATTGTCCTCTAATTAAATATTATTATTATATTGTTATTTAGATTATTATTTGGATTATTTATAACCCCCCTACATTTAAAAACTTAGCAAAAATAACCTCATAATAAAAGTTTGGAAAATCAACAATGCATCCCCACCAACCCAGCTATTGCCGACTGCCGACAACCTAACGGTGCATGGAAGGCAGGAAATGGCCTCCTTGCACCATATGTCCATTTCCGGCCAGATCTCTGACCGGAATGGCCATATCGACGCACGACGGCCATTTCTGGCCTTCTGTGCATTGTTCCAGCGGCGGTGGGGTGGCAGCGATAGCGGCTAGTCATCGACGGTGGTTGTCAGCAGCTGGCGATAGCAGGTGGGTGGCGGTGGTGGCTTGGGTGGGCGGCAATTTGTTTTGAATTCAAGGGTAATTTTGTTCGAAAAGTTAATTAATTGGGGTCATGTAAATTAATTTAAAAATGAGGGTATTATTGTTCTAAAATTTTATTAATAAGGGATAGAATTGTAACTAAAAAAAGATTACCTTGGTAATCTTACAATACCTAAGAAAATGGAGGTAATCAGATTACCTCCAATATTACCAATAGTAACTACAATTGGTATTTGAAGATTACCGAAATCTTATATTATTTAACAACCAAACATGGTAATCAAGTAATATAAGATGACATAACCCCAGTAATCCCACATAAACCCCAACCAAACGCCCCGATAGTATTAGTTAACAATTGTGAAAGCTGGTAAACTGGTGATACAAGTAAAAGATATAAAAATAGAAGAAAAATAAATAGTTCTACATACTTCTTTAAGTAACCTTCCTTCAGAAATGATGTTAGGGTTTGTTTGAGGATCTTTAAACCATTTAATGGCTTTAGCAGCTGCTGCGCATCCCATGGCATGTGCAGAATATGAGTGCCCATGCAAAAGGGCCTTCAGCTACAATCACAACCAAGTAGATGCAAGTAAGATTGGTCAAGCATACAAGACAACAGTAAAATTAAAAATTCAGATTACATGATAGAGAGACCGATTAATGTTTGCCTTCCACTTTTCTACACTTCAACAGGAAAATCTAGGACAATATAACTATACAAGTTACACAAATAGAAAAAAAGAAGAAAAAAGATTTCTAATTGATTTGCATACAAATCATTATTTGGTATTATCATTTCACTAACTAAAGGAATTTTACAGGGCAAAAAAAGTTAATGCTGACAATGTAAAAAAAACTAATGTATCCCCTTTTAAAAAGAGCAAAATCTATAAAAACTAAGGGAGATTCAAAAAAGTTTAATATTAATCATATCCAATTAGCATTGCTGGAAATGTAACAACTTGATTGAGCATTTGAGCTTGAGGTCTCACAACTGCAGTACCACTTGAAAGTTGAAATAGGCTCTACAGCCAGTGAACAATATTAGTAGCCTTTCAAACCTCTTCCTCATCAAAAGGTCTCTCAAATCATTAAGCTTTATAAGCATTAAGAGGACTCCAATGACTAGATATTATGAATATTCTTCTATTTCGGCAAGAATTCCTACCAAAACTTCCAATTAGAAACAAACAAGAAAAAGCATCTCCAATACTAGTCCCCCTTAACTACTTTAATACAGCTATCAAGCAGTTTGTCAATATCTTTATTCATATTTCTGTCATAGTGAAACGTAATCTAGAAAATCAATTGCAATCCATATGAAAGCAAAGAGCATAATCCAACAAATCATCATATTTCACATCAAGTCTATTACCATATTACACTACCTTTGAGTCCCCAACAAATGAATCAAAAACATCCTTCGAGGCCAGTGTAACTGCCAAAGGTATGACACCACCTGTCAATAGCTTAGCAAAACAGGCAATATCTGGTACACAACCAAGTAGATTTGTGGTAGTCTGTCAAAAGAATGATAAACATCCAACAAATTCAGTGTAAATTGATTGGGTTTTAAAGAAAAAAAACAGAAAGGATGTGAATGACATACAAACAAGAGCAACATACCTCTACTCCTAATCGCCAGAACCCACAACAAACTTCATCAAAGATAACTGGAATTTTATGATTTCGACATTCATTGACAAGTACCCTCTGAAACAGTGGATCAACCATATGCATTCCTCCAGCCGCATGGATAACTGTTGAACATGTCCAAACCACTGAATTAGAAAATAAAGTGATTTCAAATAAATGAAAATAAGCCATATTGACAATTCCTAATTGCAGCCAGTCAGCAAACCAATGACGAATAAATGACATGTTCCCTCTTATTGTCAATAACTACTATTGAGGGTGGGGACAGTTCATGAAATCTTTTACAGGTATTTTTTGGAAAATTTAACAAAAAATAAAAAATTATGGGAAGAAATTTCTTTAATAACGAATGTCAAAGACTATTGAATATTACACACAATTTTCAGGTTAGCTAAACTTAATGAAGATGTAGTGTTTGGTGTTGCATACTGCTATTCATCCATGGTAGACTAGGAAACATACATGGAGATCTCCATATCAATAATTCATGTTAAACATTGGATAAGTAAATCATCTGTTGGCCTTGTAAACCATGAATTTTATAAAAAGCAAGCCCTTATTTCTATCAGTATGACCATATGACAAATAAAATAAAACTTCACCAGAAGCAATGAAAAAGAATATACTTACCTGGTTCAATAATCAAAGCTCCAATATGGTCAAATCCTTTTAATCCTGGATTTTGAGATAATTTGTGTGATATGTAAGAAGAATAAATTCCAGCAAGGTCTGATTTATCCCTGTGCTTATTGAAAATATCATCACGAGAACTGAAGGCTGTAAAATTTCAAATAAATTGCAATGTTTGTTAGAAACTATACCTAAAAGCACAACACAGGATGATAGTGAACCAGAGAAACAAAAGATGAAGTGACCAGGGGGCGGGGGGCGGGCCGGTAAGGAGGGAGAGAGAGAGAGAGAGAAAGAGAGAGAAGACAAGTCCACTTACTCGTATTGTCAAGTTCTACAGTTTCAGCATGCAACCATTCAGGTGAGGAAAGATTCCATATGCTGTTGCACATGAAAACTGTAGGAGGGTCTAGAAAAAGGCCTCTTCCCACATACCTGGGTAATTCATATATCAATAATTAAAATGGTTTCATCATCACTTGTTTGTACTTTATTGTTATCCTCTATTTAAGGACAATAATGAGAAACCTAATTGCTTGCAGAAAATTTATACAAACAGCATGAACATCTAATTACAATGTTGTCTCCTGTATAAGAAACTTTCATCAAGTATAGAGATCAACCGAAAGTTATAACAATGGAAACGATTCATTTCCAGTTACAGTAGCTGTCAAATTGATTATGATTCCATTTAAAATTGCTGTTGGAAAGTCCAAAAGTGATTCAGGACAATTAAGTCTCAACGTAAGTGTTCGGTAAACTATATTTAAATCACTACTTGACAAGAGTTTGCACTTTAAAGCTGAATCTGAGAGAATCAGTTTACTCCTTCAATAAATTATGCACTTAAACATGCCCAGTTTCAAAAACATGAGAGCATTTGATAAATATTAATATTAAAGTGTAAAGAAAGTAACTGTGTCTTAAGACAATTTTCTGTGATTACCTAAAGACCATGCCATTTCAAGTATGTACAAATACAATTTGACAATTATGAAAACAGGACATATTGAAGCACGATTGGTGAATATTGAATACCAGTTCCCAAAGTAAAGACTTCACGAATATGCAAATTATAATTTTTCTCAGGTATAATATTTGGTCAAAAGACTTATACCATGGTTGCTGGAGAAACCCTGTATAAGGAGACGGTGCTTGTGCTTCCATGGCACCCAAAGTATCACCATGATAAGATCCTTTAAGCGCAAGAACCTGAAAGAAGAGTAATTGAAGCATAGTGAATTCATCAACTAAGTAAAAATTTTTATTGCTCTACAAAGCACCAGATACAAGAAATAAGTAGTCAAATATGTTAGTGTTCCACCTTGAGCTCAACAGATTTTTCAGCCCTGTTATTCTTGAAAAAATCTAGAAGAATTCCATGATCAGAAGAAAACTTCCGAAATGCCATCTTGAGAGCAATCTCAATTGCTGTAGATCCATTATCTGAAAAGAATGTCCGAGAAGCCCAGCCTGCACAAAAAGCAGTTGTAGTCCTTTTCAAGCATATAGAAACAGAAATGCAGTCTAAACTGAAAAATGTGACAGGGAATATTGTAACTTAATTTATAAGGAATACCACTAAAGATAACCTTTTCGTTTTCTCTTTCTTTTAGAAAGAAAAGGAGGCTTCGTTAAATTTAATTAACAGAACAAAAGTAAAGGCAAACAAGTGAGAAACAAAAGTAAAGGCAAACAATAGAGAATGCTTGCACAATTCTTTTTTTTTTTTTCTTTTTTTTCTTTTCTTTTCTTTTATTTATTTATTTTTTGATAAGAAACAAAAGTTTTCTTTAATATAGAAGAAGTCGGAATGCTTGCATCATTTTAAGCAACCGTTTCCAGTTTCCATTTATTGTTACTAAGGCAAAACTTTGATCATAAGGAGACCATGGTAATATAAGTAAACAATAGAAATGAGACCAAGCTTTCTAAAAATACACCCTGATCACTGATGATATCTTTGACTAATCCTAAAGATGAAGAAATTAGTAATTCAAAGTGAGTGAATCAGGATTCATTAAGTACATACGAATGCACTGACAATCTGACAATATCTTTGGGAAAAGAATATGAGAGAAAATGATTCACAACTTTGATGGTGGATCAAGAACAACTAACCTTTTCCCACACCTTGAAGCAAAAGTTCTGCACATTCTAAGGCTGGCTCATAAACATTCTCAGGGAACATTACATGCCCAAATCTGGCAGCAGTATAACCCATATCTCTTGCAAGCTCAGTCTGAAACCACCTAAACGAATTACCACATTTAGGAATTTCAGATACATGATCAATATGAAGCGATTAAACAATTTGGGCTTTATGCTGAGGATGAGGTTTCAGCCTAAGGCAGAAGAACAACGACACTAGAATGCTGACCCTAAAGTCTACATTCCATGAACAGAACTAAAAAAGAAATCCACTCAAAATAAACTTCATGTTATGTCCTTGGGAGCAAAAATTGATTATTAAAATAACAAAATTTCCAGATTGTTTCTCTATCCCATCTCTCTATTACTTCTGTTCCTTCTTTTTAGTTTTTTTCCCCTTTTTTTCTCTCTCTTGTCTCTCTTATCTTCTTTATCTCTCTCTTTTCTTACCAACATGATTCCAAGGTGATCTTATTTTCACTCTCTCTCTTGCACTGAACTTCAATTAGATAGGTGCTGACCTCCCTACATTAATAAGTTCAATCATGGGCAAAGGGATAAAAACATCCAAAGCAGCAGAAAAACTAAATTAAAATGAAAAGATCATCATGGTTACAAGATGTTTTCCAAATTCATTCATAAAGCACAATTCACATGTGGTTATAAAAATTTAAAAAAAAAATGAAGATAAAATTAGTCATATGCATGAGGATGACCTGTAAGATAGCATCTGGTCCTTGAGTCCACCAACTAGCACATGCATCAAATTGTTGAGTAATGAATTCATTATCACGAACCTAAAAAAGGAGATTGAAAACAAATTTTCAAGAGATAATAGATTATTCAACATTTTACATCTCAAAGTGCAACATGAAAATTGAGAACTTAATACGCTGTCTGATTCAGCAGAGGACAGTAAATAAGCCATATTGTATAATTAGCTAATAAAAACAATAAACATATAATCAGATAGTATAAAAACAGAATAAACTTGCAGGGAAATGTGAAAGGAATTTAAGCAAACAAGTAAAGAAAGAGATGAAAGGTGAGCAGTGATATGGCATCAGCTTTGAAAATGAACCTTGTGGACTGAAAAGTTTTCTCCACAACGTGAGTCAATTACTGTAACAGTTTCTTCTGGTACCAGATTGTGTTGCGTAAATGGCCACCAGAAAACCTCCCCTGCTCGCTTTGCAGATTCATTCAATCGACATATTCTTTCTGAATAAGCTGATAACATTATGTCCTTCAAAGAATTAAAGACATCATGAGATTCATCAAACCATTCCATCAGGTCATTTGACGCATCAGTTGGAATAGGAGGCAGCACAAGCACAGGCACCCTGAAAAGAAAAAAAAATGAAAATAACATATAAATGAAGAAAAATATTAAAGTAATATGATGTTAGGTAAGAACAAATAAAAGAACATATACTGAAAGCTTCTCAAGTGAAAGATAAACACATAGAGAGAGAACACTCATAACCTAAAGTATATCAGTACCAACTCAAGCAAATTGTTGCTCCATACCAATTCATACTTATTGCAATTAACAAGAAGGAAATTATTGCTTCATGATGATGCTAACTAATTACCAAGAACAAGAAGGAATAGGATACAGGTCCAAGAGAAGAAAAGTAACCTAATTTACCTATTTCGCAAATATGATATCAGTGGCACCTCGTTAATGAGGCCATGATCTTCAAAGACAATAGCAACAACATCATAACCACGAAGCTTCAAACTCTCATAGGCGGAAATGGTTCCAGAAATACCACCTAGCCGCCCATCGCCAACAAGAATACCAGGTAAACGGAAAGGCCTGTGAACATGCACAAGAAGAAATAAATCCAAGGAAAGAATACCAAAATAGTACTAGCCATATATACAACTGATGCTATATAAGTATTGACTATGAGAAACCAACAACAGGCATCAGTGAACATCTTGCAATCTCTTTTTCCTCAGAATTATGGGCCTGATCTAGCCACTCATGTTGAGACATTTCTATTGTGGTTTATTGGATTGCCAGAGAGGCACCTGTGATCACACCAATCTTTCAGCACAAAATGTCAATTTCTGAATTACTTCTGATCATCTTCTACAATAAACAGAATATGAAGTACCAAAAATAGTAAACTCAGTTTCGCAGAAAAAAGACTTGAATGAGCAGACCCTGATAAGGAACAACAACCACTGCAAAGCAATCATTCATAGTACTTTCATGATTGACATGGACTCCATCATCGTGTTACCTGAACACTCTATTCACTGTTATTGAGAATCTGTAGTTTCTTTCACTCAATTGCTTTAATTATCAACAAAACTTTTCAAACATATACCAAAAGCAAACCCTACACGTATAATTACATAATTCAAGGTATGTCAATGATATCTGAAAACCAGGGCGACGCCATATGCCTTCAAGTTTTTGCTCATTGATCAATGCATTCAGTTGAGAGAGCAACAAAAAGATACCAACAATTAACTCGTTATCAAAACAGCCTAGAACTTTTAACACATAAATAAAAAATTTACTTAATATCCATCAAAAAAAAAAAAAAAAAAAATAGTCAATTGGTGCACATACCCATTACTACTAAGTCCTTAAAATTAAGGGAACGTTTGCTCACCCTTGATATTAGACTAAAACAAAAGTCAACCCACAAGTTTCGTACTTCTTCCAGAACTTTACCAAAACATTTTGAAAATTAACATAAACCTCCTTTATGATTCATCAAGTCTTCTTCTCAGGCAAGTTCCAAATTCCAAACCGGTAAGTCCTATCTATAATTACACCAACCCTATTCAAATTTAGTTAAAAAATAGAGCATAAACAATACTAACAATCACTTGCCTATACAAGTCACATTGTAGAGACCCCGACGGCCCGGGGCTAGCAACCCCGCCAGCAGTTTCCACCACACACAAAGCCTCCATTCTTTCTCTTCTATCACTCTCCAATCCTTCTCTCAAACACTTCCCCAGCAGTTCAACCACTTCATTATCCCCCACCACTCCACTCTCCCTCTCCGCCGCCAAATGCGGCGAAACCGCCTCCTTCCACGCAAACAGCGTCTTACAATCCAATTCACAAATCACATCTTTACCATTCTTATCACTCATTATCTTACTCTGTGCGCTAAAATTCAAATCACACATTCCTGGCCTACATTTCTCCCCATGGACCTCAAATTTCTCAGAAAGCACAGACTTTGCGGCGGAGGGAGAGGACTTGAGTACGGTATCGGAGAGTAAGAGATTGAAAGGGAAGTTGCGGCGGAGAGAGAGCGCGGAGAGTTTCGTGAAGAGGAAGCGAGAGTCGGAATCGGCAGGAAAGCCGGTCTGTACAGGCTTGAGATAGAGAAACTTCTTATTGGAGGACGAAGAGAGGAGAAATGAAGAGGAAAGGCCAGCGGAAACTAGGGTTTTGCCGAGAGAGGTGTTCGCGGACCAGATTTGAAAAATTGGATGAACGAGCGGGAGATGAAGCGGTTGCGAGGTAGAGTAGTGGTGGCTGTATCGGCGGTGGAGTAGGCGGCGGAAGAAGAGCGGGAGCATTGTGAGAGCCAAAGCGAGCGCCGACGGCTCGAGTTGTAACTTGTAAGTGTACGAAATTTGAAAATGAGAGCGGCGTTTTTGGTTGGTTGAGCGGCTGTCGAGGTGTCGTTTTGAGCCAGGTTGGGCGTCGTTGGGTTTTTACTTTTTATATGAGTTTAATGATTATGTGGCAAGTGGCAATTTGTAAACGGAGGGAAAGGACGTTGATAAACGTGAACGAATTAAGAGTGAAAATCAGCCTAACTTTCAACGGTTTATCGGGTCGGGTCGATGCTGATAAAACTTTTCGGGTTACTTCTGAACGCCCCTGGGGTTTGTTTTTTTCAGACGCCACGCTTTTCTGAAACTACAATTTACACCCTTTCCGCGGCTCTTGGATGTTGAAATTAGCATTGTGCGTTGTTTGGCTTGGATCCGAACCACAACCAAATTAAAACCAGATTGGTTGGATTCGATTAATCGGTTTTGTATATAATATTTTCAAGTTTATTATTAAATTTAATCTGTAAGATAAATAAATTCAAAGAGAAAATTATTTTAATAACTTAAGAATATAATAAAAAAATAAACATGTAATACTTATTTTGTTATATGTACTATTGCTTCCTATATAATTCTTTTGTAAAATTTGTTTAAAGTGTATATACTAACACATTAAATATGACTTTTTTCTACGTAAAAGAGGACTCTTTTAAACAAAATTTCGAATTTACTTGTGATTCGTCCATTTATATATATAATCAGATCAAGATTTTTTAGATCCAATCGATTAATAAAATATTCAATTTGATTTTTTAGATTTAGATGTATTTATAAGACACGTCTCTTTCGAGATTAATCAAGATCTGTGTAAGTTAGTTTGGATAGTTTGATTTAATGAAAAAAAAAAAAAAAAAAAAGGTTTGCAAAACACACTTCAGCTTTGTAGGGAGTTTCATTAAAATTTTCTAAAAGTATAAAAATCAGATAATTAAAAACAAAAATATAAAATAAAAAGCAATTCAAATTATTATATCGTTACGTTAGTCAAACGTGGTCAACAGTTGATTTAACACTTATTTATATCAGTGAATTAATAGGAATATTTGAGAGACAAAAAGAAAAAGATAAAATCTTTAATTATTTATTAATACTTAATTGTCAACTAAATTAAAATACATAACGAATTAGGAAAATTAAGTAATCTAATTCTAATCCGTTAATTAGTCATCATTTTCTCTGTTAAATAAAATAACCCAAACAGCTAAACTCAACAGCAATTACAAGAAAAACTCCAAACAATCAATCGAAATCAATTTCCAGAAAATACCAGAATTCACAGAAATTACTGAAAATAATTTTTGGATATTTGAAAAAAAGTTTGGATAAAAAGGAGAAATGTCTGGTATTAGAAGAGGCTGGTCTGATAGGGCGCCACTTCTTAATCTTCAACGCTCCCGCTTAACCTCCTCCGATAACATCCGCAGCCAGAGTTCCTCCGCCGTCTTTCTTGAGATGGCCGCCGCCACCTCCGTCCCTTCCCGGACAGTCTTTCTCGGTGTTGATGTCGGCACCGGCAGCGCACGCGCCGGTACATTTCATCACGCGCACTCGCCCTCTCTCTCTATTTATTTTTATGCTTAATTAACAACAACAACAACAATAATATGAAAATATGAAAATTAAGCCGCCTGACACTCGAATAGAAGTTGAAATTGCGCATTACAAGTATGATGAAGTTAATATGATCGTTGGGTTTTTGATGTTGAATGTTTGAAGTACTGAAGTGTTTGTAGCTATTTTTTGTTTAATTTTTCAATCTGGTGAATTCAAACTTTGTTTTGTCTGTTTGGCAAATGGTGATGGTAATTTGTTTATCTTTTCGAATTCCATAAGTTTGATTTATTGATGGTTAAGAGTTAAAGCAAGAGAAGTGAAAGACCAAAAGTAGTTTTAGTTGCACATTTGGATAAGTACTGTTTTTTGCAGGGAAAAACTTACTTTCTGAAATCTAAGTGCTATTCTCCAAAGTTGAACATGAATAGTTGTAAAATTAGGCAATTGCATAATAGCTAAAAGCAAAATTTTCAAAATTGCTTTTGAAAAATGAGAATGGAACAGTGAAATGCTGAACTATACAGTCTAGTTCATCGTTTTAACTGATATGTCCGAAACCGTTGTAGAACTGTTTAGAAAATCTTAGTTGTGTACTGCTGGACAGAATTTTGAACTTTATTTTACTAAAAAAACATAGTTTTTGAGAGTAACTACCTTTGGTTTATACACAAAATCAAAATTTATGAATAGCTTCATAGAGCGTCAGGGACGGATTGTAGTATTGCCAAAAGCTCTTCCATATGGCTAAAAGTACTCATGTATATATTTTGAAGTGTTCTGTTGAAATTGGACAGCTTCTTTAATTATAAGAATCATGTAAGTGTGAAGACTGAAACGATGCCGTATCACTTGACTAAGTAATACGTGTCGTTTCAGGATAATCGAAGAATCAATTTGGACCATCAGTTATCTTGAGATCCAACGGCTGCAGTTAGTCCAAGCCTGGTCAACGGTATTTAAGCAGATGAGCCTTCAGTCTTCATTCATTTTTGAGAGGTCGATATTGTGTAAAAAGGAATTGCTCTCTTAGGGTTTTTCGTTCGGTTCTGAAATTGTGATCTTTGTAACTGGTTTGAGTGATTGTGTTAGTCATTCTGTGAGGGGGTATTGTCTCTCAGAGGGCTAGGGAATCTTGGTGTTGTTTCTCTAGGTTGATTGTTACAAGATTGGTTGATTTTGGGGTTTCTTTCTTGGATTGATTGATTCGAAGTTTATAATCTATAAACTAGTTCTTAATAGCGCAGTGAGCTTCTCCTGTTTCCGGAGCTCAACATGGACGTAGCCTTCCCATTCTTGGAAAGGTGAACCACGGTAAAGATTGTGGTGTTGATTCTTTCTGTGGTTGCTTGATCTATTAGATTTGGTAGGTTTGTATGTGTGATTTTACAACAAAACACTTATTGGTGTTTTTCCAGAAAGGACTTTTTGGATAAGAAAAGCTCTTAAATTGCTTTTTGGAAAGGCACTTAATAGGTGCCTTTCTGTAGAAAGCTTCTACTCACAAGCACTCTCAAATATACCTTAGTGTACTTATTTTTATTGCACATTTTTTTTATCATCATCTTGTAAACAGATTAATAATATATTAGACTTCATAGATGTTGCAATAATTCATTCCATGCCTATCACTGCAGGTTTATTTGATGAAAGTGGAAAACTTCTGGGGTCAGCCAGTTGCCCAATTCAAATATGGAAAGAGGGTGACTGTATTGAGGTAATTTGTTTGTGTTGATTACTTATAGATGCCTGGGAATTAGGCTGCATTAATTATCTTTATGGGATCCTCAGGAAGTCCACAAAATTATTGATGTGTTACATGTACATAACTACTCAATTTTAGTAACTGAACAGTAATTATTGTAATGCTTTTACTGATTTAAAACTTTTATTATATTTTATTATTCCCTAACTGGAAACAGCAATCTTCGACGGATATTTGGCTCGCAATCTGTGCAGCAGTGAAATCAGCATGCTCCCTTGCAGATGTTTCTGGAGAAGAAGTGAAGGGTTTGGGTTTTGCAGCTACTTGTTCACTTGGTTTGTTACAAATCTTTTAGAATATTGTTATCTAAAGAATGCTTTAAGTTGTTGGTATTGTGGAAAATGTTGCCTACTATAATTGTATAATTTACATAAAATTGTTTCATCATTTTGCAGTTGCAGTGGATGCTGATGGCTCTCCTGTTTCAGTTTCTTGGAGTGGTGATTCAAGGAGAAATATTATTGTATGGATGGACCATAGAGCTGTAAAGCAAGCCGAGAAGATCAATTCCTGTAATTCACCAGTGCTGCAATACTGTGGTGGAGCTGTTTCCCCTGAGATGCAGCCTCCAAAGGTATCTCCGCAGCACTCCAGCTATCCAACAGCTGTTCTTCATGTATATCTGATATCAATTTCTGAATATATGCTGAGTTCACATTATATGGCATATGAAATATCACAGCCTAGAGTTAACTGAATAGATGCCTTATAGACAAAATTAATAATTGCCTTGGCAGCCTTCTTTTTTGTTTCCTCTTGGCAAGGGCCTTCAATTGTTGGAGTTCTGGTGAGCAAATTATGCTTTTTAGGTGGCTCCTCAACTTGTTATGAGAATGAATTTCCTTGGACAGTTTACACTCATTTTAGGCATTTGATTAAGTATTTGATTCTTAAAGAATTATAAGGAATTTGTTCTGTTAATGTATCATTTAACCATTCACCATATTGTGGTGTCTTTTGGTGAACTAAACTTGGATAATTGGAAACTTGGTGAAATAAAGTGAATATCTAAAACTTGATTATATAAAACCCTGTTAGACTTGGGAAATTGTTTGCAGGATGCAATGGAATTTGTTTGGCAATATATGTCAAGCCACAAGTCGTTCAGATTAACGGTCTTGTTACCCACCTTATTTACTGCTTCAGCTGTTTTGGGCCTGAATTGATTTGAGTTTTGATGGGAATGGGTAATTGCTAGGGCAATGCATTGTCATTTGTTGTGAGAAAAAGATTAGGTTCTGACAAATGCTTTAAATCTCTATCCTGGCTATCGAGTTTACTTGAGCCTTAATTTAAGTTGTGAAGTTACTGATATGAAATTGAGACGTTGACTAGTATTATTCCAAAATAGGAACTTAGTTGAAAACTAATTTTATATCATGCTGTAGTTGTACAATTATGAGACCTCTGAGCAAAGTGCTTAGTTTCTGTAAGGATAATGCTGTTAATATGTTATTTCACCGTGTGCAAACTCTGAAACGGAATTATGATCTCCATGGTTCTTTGTGCTCTGTCTGTCATGTTTAATGAAAAAAACTTTTGCAGCTTTTATGGGTGAAAGAAAATCTGCAAGAATCTTGGTCGATGGTATTTAGGTGGATGGACTTGAGTGATTGGTTGTCATATAGGTACTTTGAATCTGCATGTTCTTTATTTTCTTCTCCTTAATGTTCAGACATCGTTAGCTTTCACAAAGTCAAATTATTTATTATTCTTCTTTTATGCATTCCAGAGCAACAGGAGATGACACCCGTAGTCTCTGCACCACAGTGTGTAAATGGACATATCTTGGTCATGCACACATGCAACAGATGAAAGAAAAAGATTCTCGAAACATGGAAGCTTGTGGATGGGATGATGAATTTTGGGAGGAGATTGGCTTAGATGATCTTATAGACGGGCATCATGCTAAGATTGGTATGGTTGTAAGTTTTTTTGTTCACTTATTTCCTTGTCTTTATGTAGATGTAAGTCGCATACTTGGAACACAACAAAATTCAAGGTCTTTACAAAATACTGTGGCTTCTTCTTTATGGAACTATTTAAGGTCTTTACATTTACCAATTTTTGTGATTTTTTATTGTAATATTTAAATTTTGCATCATATAATATCAACAGGACGAAGTGTAGCTTTTCCTGGCCATCGTTTGGGTTCCGGTCTTACTCCTGCTGCTGCGCAGGCAAGAAATTTTGAATTGAAGATTTCACATTGATTTCAAGTGGCGCTCCCTTGAGGTCCATTAAAAAAGCAAAAACATTTGATTAGATAGGATGCAAGCACTTACTCTTTATGTGGGTTTTTGAGGGTTGGGCTGTTTATTTTCTTACGCATTTGTAATTAGTCAGTTTCATTCTTTTATAAAATGACCTTTATTTTCAGGAACTTGGTTTGGTAGAAGGAACTCCTGTGGGGACTTCATTGATTGATGCTCATGCTGGAGGTGTGGGGGTAATGGAAAGTGTCCCTGTGCTGGCTTCCGAAGCCAAAGGTTATTGGTGATTTGATAAATTAAAATTCCCTTCCGCACCCCCCCTCCCTCTTTTTCTCTTCGGTTGCTAATTTATCAGCACTATGTTTTTACTTTCCAAAAATTATGGGTTCAGAGAATGATGAGGAAGCTATATGCCGCCGAATGGTGTTAGTCTGTGGCACTTCTACTTGCCATATGGCTGTGTCACGGAACAAGCTATTTATTCCAGGTGTCTGGGGACCATTTTGGTCAGGTACACTTTAAAAATTTTGTCAATCAGTGTTTGGTAATAAGGCAGTGTGAGGATTTTGAATGTGGAAATTTATGTGTACTGTCCAGAGATAGAATTACTTATTTTAAGTGATGAATATAGTATGTTGCTCTAAATGTAAGTTTTGTCACGAACAAGTGCAGAGAGAGTGAATATTTATGCCAATGGCCCATTTGTTTCTGTTGTCAGCAATGGTACCTGAATTTTGGCTAACAGAAGGTGGACAGAGTGCTACGGGTGCATTGTTAGAATACATAATTGAAAATCATGTTGCTTCTCCACGCCTTGCAAATCGAGCTGCTTCTCGAAGTAAGATCTATGTTCCTAACTTCTAAAATACTACTTTTTCCCAGATAACAATTTTTATCTTAACTTAGTTTGCAGTTAATTTAATATTAATTTAAAAATTGTTGCTGCTGTTCTAAAACACATCTAGTTTTAGCTTTATTCTATATATTTCTTTTCTCTGTCTTCCAGATGTATCCCTCTTTGAACTACTGAACAGTGCTTTAGAATCCATGATGCATGAGATGAAGTCTCCTTTTCTTGCTGCTCTTACCGAAGATTTGCACGTCCTTCCTGACTTCCATGGAAACAGGTAAATGGTTAAGAGATTGGCATATGTTTTCTCAGGTTACAGTACCCAAATATGTGTTTCATTCCAAGTTTGCAATGGCACAGGTCTCCCCTTGCAGATCCAAGAGCTAAAGGAATGATATGTGGTTTGACACTTGATACAAGTGAGAAACAGTTGGCTCTTTTATACCTTGCCACAGTACAGGGTATTGCCTATGGTACACGTCATATAATGGAGCATTGTAATGCTCATGGTCATAAGGTAACAATACATGCCTAATAATCAGTATATACATTTTGCTGTATTCACCATTGCAAATAATCTTGATTAAGCTTCCCTTCTTTATATGCTCATGTCTTTTCATTCGGTTTTTATTACTATTTTTTTGTTAAAATTAGTTATTGACATTTTTAGCAGTAGAAACAGAAGTAGATTTTCATTTTGAAAGTGCCAGAAGTACTTTCATGATGCCAGAATACAGATTCATAAAGCTTCCCAATAATTTTCCAAGTTGATTTTCTGCTATTAAATTGCTTATTGTGGCTATAAGCACAACGGCTCACAGCCCACAGGAGACCCTTCTCTTGTCTTTGTCTCTATAACTAACAAGAACCATATAAATAATCTTCTTTCTGTTTGTGCCCTAAGCCAAAAGATTTGAGTTTACTGAATAGAATCATTTGATGATAAAAATCTGAACAAGTTCAAAGGGTGGAGAGGCCATGCTTTGCCTTAGCGGAAACACAGTCCACCTTGTTTAGCAACTGATCTGTTATGTTTCTGAACCTATAGATTTGACTGAAACTTATATTTTAGATGCATTTTTATCTGCACTATTGCATTGCTGGAGGCCTCTCACTTTCCATTCTGTGTGGATGTATGGATACTGCAGCCCTTTGAATAGTGAGTCGTTTTAGAGTGACTTTGATAAGTAGAAAGCAGTTGCTTTGCAATCCTTAGGAGAGGCCACAAACTCTACTTTGGAACTGTTGTAAAAAATAACTACAACAAACACTATAATCTTTCAACTTATCTTGATGCTGAATTATTTAGACAAGTTAAGCACTGATAGCTACATTCATGATGTAGCACATGTTCACAAAGCTAGTTGAGCTCAGAGGTGGTCAATGAGAGGAGGAGAAGGTAAAGTAGTGGGAAGAACCAGCAAGAAGCAAATCCAAACTCACTCCAGTCCTCAGTACACCTTGAGGCAAATGTATCCTCTGGTATCAAGTCAAAACCACCCACCCCTCCATGTATCCAAACTTACCTGCGGAAGTCTGAGCATAAAGTAGTAGTAATGCTCTGATCACTTCTAAGCTGAACTAGAGGTCAAAGAAAGCTTTTATTTCACTTATCTCTTCTAGAAGGAACATGTGAATCACTCTATTGATCAGCAAGCTATTATTTTTAAACATAGTGACGTGATCTTGAATGAAAAAAATGTCTGATGTGGACAATCAACTGAAATTTGTCATGTAAATCCTCGATTAATAAGGTCCTGATAGATTGGTTTGGAAGCAAAGATCAGTAATAATTAATTGTTGTGTATATATGTTTTTGTAAGTTGTGCTGTTATTACAGAAGGTGTTAGGTCATTCAATCATTAACTTATCAAATACTACCATCCTTTCATGTATTTCTTTATCTTTTGTAGATTGACACACTACTTGCTTGTGGTGGCCTCGCGAAGAATCCTTTGTTCCTTCAACAACATGCAGATATAATTGGTATCTCTTGTCTTCCTCTCTGAGTCTCCAATTTTGTGTGTCATGTAGTGTATATTTATTTCCACACTCACAAACACACTTATAGCATCAAGAAATGGAAAGGTCTTCTACACTTTAAAGGATGTTGGATTCAAGTCTTTGAGGCATTCTTGGACATGAAGCGATGAACTTTGTGGATCTCTTGTTACTAATTGCTGCAGGTTGCCCTATTATACTTCCACGAGAAAATGAGTCTGTGCTCCTGGGTGCTGCTATTCTCGGTGCTGTTGCTGCAAAGAGGTATTCTAGTCTGATTGAGGCCATGAAGGCACTGAATGCAGCGGGTCAGGTATGCATGATAATCTATTTATTTAATTTTCCCCAAAGCTTCTGTTTCAAGTGTGCTGTATAAAGCAAACTGAGGCAAAATTTTTGTCTTGAGTTCAAAGGAAAAATAGGTAGAAGAGGAGAGAGAGAAATATAGGAAAATTCAGAGGGAAAGTATGCTTATCAGTGTTTATTTGTGAATTTATCTCTCCGGTACTCTTTTTGCTTTACTTTAGATAAACAAGTGTATATGGCATTTTCAACCTAATTACCGAAACCTTTTCTCTGCTGGGTTAGTTGTCATGTCATATGTTGCAATAATAAGCTCTTGTGTTCAACAATTAGTGGGCTAAGGTAAGTGCTTATCAGGCTTAAAATGGCTTTAGCATGGCCTCAGATAGGACCCAATAGGTCAAGGCCAAGGGTTTAAATTTTGTCTAGGAAATGCGTGGTGACTACTTGTCCTGATTAACTCAATTCATGTACCTAAATTTTTCTAATCCTATGTGAGCGCTGGTATGTTTTCTTAACATCAAAAATAGTCGTCGCTGGGGGAGTTCCAAATCTGTAGCAAATGCATGTAACATAAAAGACATGGACTTTTAGCATAAGATTATCCGAATAATTTTCTTTGGCTCTCTATTGTTGCGGAGAAATGGGCACCAGTTTTATTTCTATTTAGGATGTGCATTTGCTTGAATTTCTGCAGGTCATTCATCCATCAGAAGATCCAAAGGTGAAGAAGTATCATGATGCCAAATACCATATCTTCCGTGAGCTTTACCAGCAGCAGGTATCTCAACGATCTTTAATGGCTCAAGCGTTGGCATAGATTTTCTAGTGCCTGTGTTCATAATTAATGGTTTATTACTTTTCTTCTTTCTCGTTTCATTTATAAGCCGACCAAAAGTGACCTAAATCTCAAAGAATTGGAATGTAGTGTAACAATTACTCGTGATAGTCATTCAAACACTTTAAGTTAACGGTATCTAGATTTCTATTTTCTCTCCAAAATAATTTGAGGCTTATTAAAGCAGAACCGTGCTGTATATACAAAATGTTTCGTATATATATTTTGTTGCAGAATGGTTTCATATAACTTGCATGCATTAATTCATCTACTTCAATTTAGATAGTTTATTTAAGGATATTATGTTGCCATAGTTCATATGAGTTAAATTGTGATAAAGAGTTTGTATTATTTTATACTTTAAACAGAGTTAATTAAATCAAATTCTCCAATTTTTGAGAACTTGAAAATTAGCTAATAACTTATCCAAGAATTTAATTTTTTTTATAAAATGAAATTGTCCCTTTTTTTTTTAAGTTTCATTATAATCTCCTGTCAAAAAAAAAAATATATATATATATCTAATTTCCAAATTGTTTTGCATTTGAATTAAATCATTGCATACGGCAGCTAGCTTTTTAGAATGGATCGAGACTATTATTAAAACACTCTGCAAAAACAAAATTCTCCAGCGTCAAATATCTATACAAAAATGAAAAATGAAAGAAAATTTGCAAAATCGTAAGGAACCTTTGATGATCTAGTCAGAAGCCTAACCATGTTTACAAGTAAAATTAATGCAACATATTAATCTTGCTTATTTTACCGAGTATTATTTCTTACTACATGAGTCTATATATAAAATTTATAATTTTACAGATTCATAATCCGTTAAAAAGAGAATGATTGGAAGTACCACTTCCAAATTGTTTTTCTATTTGTTCAACCTCAATGAAACAGACCAGACCAGAAGTCCACTAGAAAAAGCAAACCCAAACCCAAAATCATCTGACCGGTCACAAATAGAAATAGATGCTCCGATTTTCCCAATATTCATCATTTTGCTCAAGTTTGAATCTGTGAGACATTGGGTAAAGCATGCTGTTTGCTTGAATAACTCTTGTGCCCAAATAAAAACTTCTCCAATGTTCATACAACCAACCAAACATGAGATATCAATCATTGCGTGTGACATTAACTTATTCAAGAATGGTACGTATGTTGTATGGAAGACTTTACTCCATTTTTAACATAGTAACCATCTCCAATCTCTAGATTTGTGACTTTGTTCCACATGAGACAAGCAGCTCCAGCATTTAAAGAGTAAGAGAGGAGGCTGAGAACAATAAGGCATTTCCCTCTTAAGGAGTTGCAAACAAAAATTGTTCCAAATTCAATATACAAAGATGCAAACTGCAGATATTGTACTGTTCCGGGGATGTACTTTTCCCTCAAATACCTCCTTGGTAACTTAGAAAACAAAGTCATGGAAATAGAGTGGTTGGCAGCCTCAGAAATAGCTCGATTACATATAAAGTCCTTCCGGTACCCCTTCTTTCTTCTTAAACATCACCTTCTCCTTCGCTTTCTTGAAGTCTGTATGTGTCACCTGAAGCACAATGCAAAAGGTGTTTAACCAGATAATCATGGGTATTGATTATTCAACTAATAAGCTTTTTAGAAGAAATATCAAGCATTTAGAAACATAGACCTACAAAAATCCAAGAGTAATGCAGTTAATAAAGATGGAACTTCGTTGTGACAGAACCTCAGACATGAGCATGTTATTGTAAATGGGTGCTCCTAATCCCCATTGACATGCCACAGAAGTTGTGTCGGACCCAAACAGGCACATGAACTGAACAATATATACATCTGTTAACCGAAAGACTTATGCCTCTCACATGCAAACCCTCAAACATCCAAGGTGGCATTCATGTGCAGGCCCACCCGCCCAAACATGAGAAGATTATTGTCAACGGGTGCTTATAAGCCTCCATTCAAATGCCATGAATTTTGTAGACCAGACCCAAACAAGCATGTGAACTGGGCAATATATGCATCTGTTAAATGAGAAACTCACGCCCCTCACACATACAAACCCTCAAACATCGAAGGCGGTGTTGATGTGCAGGCCCACCCACCAAAACATGAGAAGGTTATTGTCCATGGGTGCTTATAAGCCCCATTGACATGCCATGGATGTTGTAGGTCTGACCCAAACAAGCATGTAAACCGAGCAATATATACATCTGTTAAACAAGAAACTTGTGCCTTCCACATACAAACCCTCAAACATCCAAGGTGTTCATGTGCAGACCCACCAGCCCAAACATGAGAAGGTTATTGTCAAAGGATGCTTATAAGCCCCAACCAAATGCCATGAATGTTGTAAGTTGGACCCAAACAGGCATGTGAACTGGGCAATATATACATCTGCTAAATGAGAAATTTATGCCCTCAAATGCAAACACTCGTGTGCAGGCCACCCGATCATGCATGTTAGTGAATGGAAAATAATCAGGTCAAGTCATGCACATAGTGCTTGTGATTAAAATATAAGAGCATCAGGTGGAAAGAGAGAAACGTGCATAGTTCAACTGGTTTTTCAATCACAATACTCACCTTCATGCGGCGCTCTCTTAAAGCAAGCAAACCAGCTTCAGTACATATAGCCTTTATATCAGCTCCAGATAACTCATCTTTAGTCATCACAAACTCTTCCAAGTTGACATCATCAGCCAATGTCATCCTTGAAGTATGTATCTGCAATTTCAATCACAAAAATGAGAAAAATTTTCATCGCAAAAACACAAAAACAAACCCCAGATTAAAAAAAAAAAAAAATTGACTAATTGAACAATTTTGCAGATAATGTACCAAAGTACCTGAAAAATTCGCCTCCTAGTTTTAATGTCAGGAAGAGGAAATTCAATCTTCCTGTCTATTCTTCCAGGACGCAGCAAAGCAGGATCCAGACTCTCAATTCTATTTGTCGCAAGAATCACTTTGACATCTCCTCTTGAATCAAAACCATCTAATTGATTCAGCAACTCCAACATTGTCCTCTGAATTTCACGCTCACCACCTGAATGTGCATCATATCTGGGAAATAGAATCACAACAGAGAAGATCAAAATCACTGCTTGACAGTAACAATTAACAATGCTTTATGTTCCAACCATTCATATTAAAGAAAGAACCTTTTTGTGCCAACTGCATCAATTTCATCAATGAAGACAATTGATGGTGAAAGATCATCTGCAACTCTAAAAAGTTCCCTGACCAATTTTGGGCCATCTCCCAGATATTTCTGAATCAATTCACTTCCAACAACACGCAAGAAAGTTGCTGATGTTGAGTTTGCCACTGCCTGAAGTAAAATATAAGACCATATTAGAGTGTGAAATGTAAGTAGTCATGCCAAATATACCACAAATTAACATGAAGTTGTGATATCCATATCCATGTTTTTGATGCAAAGATTCTGGTTTCTTCCTTGATTTGACAAATATTACATTCCATTCAATTAAAGCCTTCAAACACAACATTTATGTATCCTGATCTCCATAGCAACTGCAAAACTGATTTGATTCTGCCAGCACTACCAAGAATGTTTTACTACAATAAGATATGCACAGTATCTTAAGGTTTACTAAAAAATATAAAGAAACCTAGCTTATTGAACATCATAATAGAAATATAAAATATATATGATTAAAGAGAAAGAGTGAAAGAGAAGTTGATTAAAAGAGGATCCCTAGCTTTTACACCTCACACCCTAGTGCTAGACCCAAAAACAAGACAAATCAAACCAACAATCACAAAATTTACTGGAATACTATACACTTATAACATGAAGATAGAAATAATAAGCGGCACAACTACACATTGTAGATTTTCAAATTCTAATTAGATTTGCAACCTTCTCTTCATAGAGCTTTAACATTCTTGTTAAACAGTTGTATATTATAGATCTTTATGCCTACACTAATATACAATAATAGAAGCATAGAAACAAAGAAACATATATGCACCTTAGCAAGCAAAGTTTTTCCAGTTCCAGGCTCCCCATAGAGTATGACTCCTTTAGGAGGTTTGATGCCAATATCTTCATACAATTCAGGATGAGTAAGTGGAAGCTCTACAGCTTCTTTAATTTCCTGTATCTGGGCATCCAATCCACCAATGTCAGCATATGATTCCAGTGGAGCCTTCTCAACCTTCATCACAGACACCATGGGATCAACATCATCTTGAAGAAGCCCAACAACAGAAAGGACCTGAACAGATAGCAAAAACAAAACACCATTCAGAATTTCCATAAGTCAACACATCAAAAATATTTGGCATTCCAATTAACGGTGTCATAAATATCTTCCAAGTATCTCTGCCTGCTTTCATTGAATATCTTATCAAAGTAACTTCACCCCTCTCCGTACATCACTCTACACATCAATCTGATTCATCTCCACGTAAACAACACTAAAAAAAAAAAAAAAAAAAAAAATTGTTTCTCTTAAGCTAGTCCTAAATTTGGGTTTNCACCGCCCTATCATTAGCAATTAATATTATACCAAATTTGCTATGCTAGAAAAGGTTGAAGTTCCCATCTCATTCAATTCTATTGATGATAACCATTAAGAAAAATGTTATCCTTACAAAGACCCATACAAAAAGGGCTACAAAGTGACATCATCCAGAAAAAAAAAAACAAAGAAAAAAGAAAAAAAACCTCAAAACTTGAAAAACACATTAATTCCACTTAAGCAATTAAATCAAACCTTAATCCCACTTAAACAACACTTTCATTCTAATATACCAATAAGTGTTGCTAGTAAACAAATATTACAAATTTTATCACCAACTTCAAAAATCACACCACTAAAAGTTTTACCCGCTTGAACAGTAATACAAATTTTATCACCTACATTCCAAGACAATTAACACCATAGAAAACTTCCACCTTAAACTTTCAAGCCCTACATTACAAATCAAACCTAAATTCAAAAGGGGTTTCATCAAACAAACCTTAAATCCCACTTAACATTTGCAATTGCATCAAACGTCGAAACCCACCTCACAAGCATCATAAAATTCATATTCTATTTCAAAGTTAACATAATCACAACTCCAACCTCCAAATGTCAATTTCCACATCACAAATCAAACCCAAATTCCCAAATTTTCCAACAAAACAAACAAATAGTAATAATAATAATAAACAAACCTTATTATGCATAAGAATA